AACCTCTCTGAACCTGTTTCATATAAAAATGTGTTAATAATCCTAGTACCCGCCTTATTGGTTGTTTGTACGTATGCATACCCATCAGATAATGTTAGCAAATTTAGCAAGGTGTGCATGTAATAAATATGTTCACATGTAAAACATCAAACAAAATGTATCAGGGGCCGGAGATTTAGCTCAGTGGTGCTGTGCCTGGCTCACAAGCACAAGGTCTTGAGTTTGATTCCCCGTACTACACACAAAAAAATGTATCACATGCCTTTTTGGAGGCCAGGTCCTTTACTAGGCCTTCACAAAGCCCATAGTCTAGAAGGAAGAAAGATTTGTGGGTTTTAAAAAATGTATTAGTATGTTTTCTATAATATATTATTATATTATTAATTGTAGATAATGATTATACTCATTACATATCTCAATCCCTTTCCCCCTTTCCTTCCCACTCTTTCACTCTTCAAGCATCAGATTCATTTATTTATGTCATTATAAAGTTAATTAGCATATATACAGATTAACAACCAGACTCATAGGCAAAAAAATATATAAAACAATTATACTAAATCAAAGCACTTTTAGATACATTTTATTCATACTGTATAACAATAACTTTTTTCTCTCTCTCTTTTTTCCTATCAACTGCCTTTTATTTTGCACTTTTTATATATTTTTTTCATGTAAGAGAACCATGCACTATTTAAACTTGCATGTCTGATTTGCCTCACTTAATATTATGGTCTCAAAATCAAGGCTATGCAGTATATAAACTACTCTAACAGGAAGACAAGCAAGGCCAACTTCCTCTCTGTATTGTCGGATGAGGTTTCACAGAGGAAAATATCCATGCATTGGCAGGTAGAAAAAAAGCTTATTCTTGGCTGACAGAAAGACATGTACACAGTCTTGAAGGTGTAAAGAAAACTACATATTCTTGTTAGTGGATCAGCAAAAGAAGTGGGGTCAGCAAGAGTTAAATAAGCCTTTAGTACAGTGTGATGTGTTTGGAGGTTGAGATTGACAAGGCCTGCAGGTCCTAGTCCCTGGGGTGCCTTTTCCCCTATCCCAAAAGTTGGGATTTGTCCTCCAGATAATGGAGTCACTGAAGGAAGCCATACAATAGCCAAAAAGGGTCAAGATCAAAATACAATGTCTAGAAAGACCACTCTGGCTCAATGTGGTACACAAATTAGGTAGCACTGGGGAAGCTGCAGTGAGTTTAGGAGAAAAAAAAAAGGTACAACTCCAAATCAAAGCAGTGGTTATGAGAATAAAGGGAGCTATTCAGAAGGCAGAATTAAAAGACACAAGCCACCCAGAAAGTTCCCAAGTTTTTGGCTTGGGCAAGTAAAGGCCCAGCTGCAACAGGAGGGGCAGGCATATGAGAAATGGTAACAAGCTCTGGAAAAAAAAGAAAAAACTCTTCAAGTTCAGCCCACGGAAGTTTTCTGAGAATTAAGACATGCCTCTAGCCCTTTGCCATGTTTACATTTGGGAATCAGGCTTTCACCAGCACCACCACCACATTTCCTGGGTGGGGCTCCCAGATGGGTACTGAGACAGTGTCTTTTTCTCTTTCCCTTCTGTTCCTTTACTATGACTTTTAGATGAGTTTGCAGATGCAACGCTGGAAACCCTATGATTAATGTGGTTTTCAAGCAGGAAGCCAAAAGCAGAAAGGCAGCCCTGGCACACGGCCAGCCATGGTTAGGTCATTTCTCCACAACTCCAAAGCTACTGAAGACTCTAAGTCTCTGCTGTGCGAGCTCATTTGGCCAAAGTCTAACTGCCAGGTTTTTGTTGTTGTTGTTGTTGTTGTTGTTGTTGTTGTTGTTGTTGTTGTTACTGTGAATTATTTTTGAGAGAAATGAAAGTACTCTAGGTTTTTCACATGTTTCACATTTCCTTTCTTATATACACCTATTTCATGGCTTATAAAGTGCTTTACAGCCATGATGATTTCACCAAGACAGGGATATTCTCCCTATGAAACAAGATTCTTAGATGTAAATGGTTTTATTAAGAATACATAGCTAGAAAGTGCCAAAACTATTCGCACAGATCTGATAATATTCCATATTGGCAAAACCATAGGGAAATGGAAGACATACACTTATGGTGAGCACGTACATTTTGCAGCTTTGTCGATAGTTATTAAATGTTGCCCATTGATCTGGCAGTTTAACTTTTGGAGCTCTTTTTTGGTTTGTTCTTTGAGACAAGGTAGCTGGCCTCAAAATTTCAATCCTCGCCTCAGCCCAACTTTTGAGTCTATCTTAACCTGAGCTCACCCTAGGAAGCAGAAGTGAATATAAAAGCCGGCAGGCAGGGAGCCAACTTGCAACTCAAGGCTGGGAAGAATGGAAAGGCAATTATATTATCAAGCTAGTCACTATTTTGTGGAACATGAGTGTGATCCTGCTGGAGCCCTCAAAGGAACCACAGAGAATGTCTGAGAGAAGGAAGAGGTGGACCTTTGTTCCCGGGATCCCATCTTACATTGGTCAAAGGTTAACACAGAATGTTACTCTTTCATACTTCCGGTTTGTCAAGTGACTTCCAAGAGATTTTCCAAAACTATATGAATGATTATTAAAAATTTTTAAATTGGGAGCTACAAAGCCCTGGAACATAGATCTCCAAAGTCAAGCATAATTTTCAGTCTGGCAGTTAATGACTTTATAGAACTGGAATGATGGAGAATAGATTCCAGACCCCTTGAAAATGGGCAGAGGAACCTGACAATAGATAAGAAAGGTGTTTTAATTCTCTGCTATGGAAGACGCCATACTCCATAGCACTCTGGCCATATAGAACACCTGATATCCTGCCAGGCAGTGCTGCTAGTGCTCAGAGGACAGCAGAGACCATATTAAACAAGTGACTATCAAAAAGTGGTACTTTTTAAATTGAGAAGGAATGGGATTCATCTCAAGCTTCCTATAAATTTATTCTACTGGGTGCCACCCTCCAAATTCCAACTGGAATATGGAGAGCAACATATATAAGCCTACATTTATAATCTTTGAAATCTACATATATAGTCCTATGTTTATAATCTATAGTTAAAAATCATTCAGGTTTTGTTTTTTTTTTTTTTTTTGTACTGGGAGTCAAATTTAAGACCTGTGCTTGCCAGGCAGGCATGGCACCATTAAATTACATCCCCGGCCCTCCCTCAGGTAACCCTTGGCCCTCCCTCACTTCAGGTATGTAGGTATTTGAGAAACATTGCCTTGGGCCTAAATCCTCAGCCCTAGGAGGAAGAAAGTGTCTAATTTATCCTTGGTTCCCTCTTGAATACCTACCACATGACAGGGACGAGATAACTGCCCACTGAATTATTCAAAACCAGTCCTCCAAAAAGCATCTAGTTCACAGGCGTCAGGTAAAATCTGTGGCCTCTGCACTGCCAGGGTTCTGGAACTTCATTTACCAGGGAAGATAAATCCAGGAAAATTGATTCAAAATCAGTAATTCAGTAGAAACTAACTGGTAAACCACAAAGCAAAAGAGTTTATTAATATGAAGGAACTACAAATAATATATTTTCTTCTAGTAAAGTCCACCTATGACAGTAAATTACTACTAGGCTGTTGTAGGTAAACAAGAAGTCAGAGTAAATGGAATTTGAAGACTTTAGGCCTAAACTGTTACTGGGCAACCCAACTCATAATATAACATTTTATATATATATAGTTTTATATATATAGAGAGAGAGTTATATATAGAGTTATATATATAACTCTCTCTCTCTCTCTCTA